TTACTGCCGTGTTCACAGGGTTTCTGTGTCCTTGCCGTGTTCACAGGGTTTCTGTGTCCTTCCCGTGTTCACAGGGTTTCTGTGTCCTTGCCGTGTTCACAGGGTTTCTGTGTCCTTTACCTTACCTTTGCCGTGTTCATAGGGTTTCTGTGTTCTTTGTTTTGCCTTTGGCTTGTTCGCATGGTTTATGTGATCTATCGACCAACTGGCTGCACTTGGATTTGGTGTTGCCACCGACAGGAGGGAGACCATAGGGTGAGGGACATTCTAATTATGGTATTGAGTGTGGGGGTAAATTCTTTCCCAACGCCTTCACAGCTCCCTTTTTTCTTTTTCTTTTTTCCTCCTCTCACGACTCTTGAAATATATGAGTTCATTTTTGCTCACCACCTTAGCCCAATATGTACCCCAGCCTCCTCAAAGCTTTCCCTTAAAGTTCTTTTCCTTCTTCTTTTTTCTTACATGGGCTGACTTTCTATCTAATCTTGAATTCTATATTGTAATTTGTATATATCTATATCTAATTTCAGTATTTCTTACAACTCGGCTTAACTCGACTTTAAGTTTACTCTGTTTCTACCCCTCTCTCCGAGCTTTAACAAGGTAACATCTAATAACTTAGCTCCATTATTTTCCGGCCAAAAAGCTATCTGGATCACAACTTCCTCAGCGGACAGATACCATCATCTTTGGGTGCACTGACTTCTCTGCAACTATTGTAAGTAAACTTTCTGCAACTTTTTGTTTTCACCATTGCACTTAATTCTTCGAATTTTCGTTGACATTTCAAATTCTTCTTTATAATCTGTGAGTTTTGCAGGTCTCTGTATTATAATGACTTGTCAGGTCCAATTCCCTACCAATTAGGAAACATCACAGCCCTTCAAATATTGTAAGTTCTTTGCTCACCCTTGTTGCACTTTATGAACACACACTCTCTCTATCTCTCCCTCCATCACACACACACATGCAGAGAGACAAATTATGTACATATATTCTAAAGGCTAAAGCTTTCTACTGAAAACAAATATCTGAATTCGTCTTCCTTTTTTTTTTTTCATGCTTTGAGATTTTTGGGTCAGAATCGACTCTCTGGTCGTCTTCCACCGTCATTTAGTAATTTGAGCAATCTCCAATACTTGTAAGCTTCTTTCAAACAAAGTTATACACACACACACATATATATATCATGAGAAAAGAAGGAGAAAATTTTGGTACTTATATCTCTACTGGGATTACATTGTTTTGCTCTCATGTTGTGGAAGCTCGGTGGCATCCAATGATCTCACTGGGGAATTCCCGGATTATGCAAATCTTACTCAGATGAGCGTATTGTAAGTGTTTCTCATTTAATAATGCCAGAGTCACCAAATTTGCTTACCAAATGATATGTCGATGCACATCTTTAGTATTTTGTTGGAAATAAATGGGTCAATAGTGGACCCAGATTTGAATAAATGAAACACGACCACGTCATTTGACCAAAAAAATTTGGTAAAGGAATTTGGTGACTGCAGCAGGATTCTTCTTTATTTAATGTTCTTGATGCCTGCAATCTACAGTATGGTGAATTTATTAATATTTGAGAGAGCCTAATTGGCCAATGCAGTTCAATATCTGGCAACTATATGTCTGGTCGCTTTCCAGCTGACTTCTTCAAAAAATGGACTGAAATTCGTTCTCTGTAAGTTTTTCTTTAGATGTAAACGGTACCAAGAGCTAACATGTATAAAAAAGAGATGAGACAGAGTTCTACATATTAAGCTTCTACTCTAGAGACATTGACACTTGTTAAAGAATAAAAAGTCCTTACAAATTTAGAGATAAGGTTAAAACAAAATGAATTGTTGATATGTACATCTGAATTTAATATTACTCTGCACTGCTCACAGGTCAATTTTGGGAAACAATTTTGAAGGGAGTCTACCTGCAGAACTTTTTAATTACTTCAGTCTTCGGTATTTGTAAGTACATCGTCCCCTTCTGATTCATTAACCCACTTTTTCAGAAAAAAAAAGGAAAAAGAAAAAAGAAAAATCAGCAGCTCTGTTTTTGTGATGAATTTTTTGTGTCTATTTTGCAGAATGATCAGTGACCTAGCAAACTCTGGTTTCCAATTCCCACGATTTGCAAACCTGAGCAATATATACATTCTGTAAATGGTTTTTATTGCATGTCGCACACATCTATTCATTTTTTAAGAGGTTTAATACAAAAACATGTACAGGGCAAAGAGTTGAATTAATTCATGTTCACTGGCCAGATTTAAACTTCTAACAAGCTTTATTTTGCTCTGCAAGAGTCTTTGTGCTGGGACAAACCCCAACATTTCTTTAAGTTGCATAATTTCTTATGCAGTCAGCATCACTAGATGTAAACATCTCATGCTCATATGATTTATCCAATCACTCACCTCTTCTCATGGTTTCTATAGGATATTAAGGAACTGTTCCATCACCGGTGAAATCCCTAAATACATTAATATTGATCAAATGTCAAATTTAGAATACTTGTGAGCCTCTCTCTCTCTCTCTCTCTCTCTCACACACACACACACACAAAACACCACCACGAGTCCCTAGAGTAATGGTTTATGTTTTTGCTTTTAATTGATTTGTTTCAATTCCTGCTTTTGAATGTACTTTGATACAATTCATCTCACAGAGTAGTTAAATATTTTCCCAAGTCGTTAATGCCTCTATGTGTTCTTAACAGGGATTTGAGCTTTAACAAATTAACCGGACGAATCCCAAAGTCCATGAGTGGTTTAAATTTAATACACTTGTAAGTGAATGATATCCGTGTTTTTGCTACACAAAAGACAACAGAACTCTTGTTGATGTTAGTACTCTATTATCAACTCTCTCCTCAGGTCCTTGGCAAAAAATAAACTTAATGGCACAATCCCTGCTTGGGTTGGTGCAGTCAAGACTAGCTTGTAAGCTTCTATATTCAGAATCTTAAACTATGTACATCTATTTTTATCTTCATGTATTGGCTGTCAAGTAAGTCCGAAAGCTTAAGGCCAGTTTGATAATCGTTTCAATTTTAGTTTTTAGTTTTCATTTTTTGTGCTAGAGAATAAAGGAAAAAGAGTGAGAATGGAAGTGAGAATGAGATTGAGAGGGAAGATGAGAGGGGAGGATGTGAGGTAGGAGGTAAAAAAAGTGAAAATAAAAACAAAAAACTAAAAATCTATACAGTTTTCACTTTCAAAATTTTGTTTTCACTTTTGTTACTCCTCCCTCCCATCCTCCCCTCTCATCATCTCTCTCAATCTCATCCTCACTCCCATTCTCACTCTCATTTTCCTCTATACTCTAGCACAAAAAATGAAATCTAAAAACTAAAATTGAAATGATTATCAAACGAGCCCTTAGTATCTCAATAATTGATATTTATTTCTTAAAAATTCATGATTGTCCCACTCATAAGTTCCTTTAACACCTTTAAAGATGTTTGAAGATGTTTATGACTCAAGTTCACTAAGTGGAAGTTTAACTTTTGAGATTTCTTAGAATTAGGATCGTTGCTTTTTTAACCTGCAGTTGATGACAAATTCAAATATGAAGGAACCATGCAACAGCCTAGCATCGTAGTTATCTTTTTCAGTGACAGTAGTAATGCTGGTTTCTGAAAGCCATTTGTGCACTTGATTAAGATAAAAAAGGTGCTATTTGAATTATGTGTTAATTTCGAGCTGATATTTGAGTGTCTTCTTAACTTTAATCATATCAATGCAATGAAATATTTATATGAATAGTTGTTGTGAAATGATCATTCTACAAAAAGTTTCATACAGTAATTTAGATACTAAAAAACTTCTTTCATCAGACAGCTACTTAGATATTTGACACCGGAATGCTTAATTGTAAGGAAAAGAAAAATCCTCATCTAAGCCACCATCATTTTCTAGGAGCGTATTATGTTCCCACATTCCATTAGCTATGAAATTTGACCATATGTCTTTTCAGGGATCTGTCTTACAATAACTTTTCCAAAGTTAGCTTGCCAGACGATAAGCGAGATCATCTGTAAGAATTGGCATTAATTTTCTTTTTCTATTGTTACCAATCTAGTCGCATGTGGAATTATGATGAGATCCTTTTCCATACATTTCAGGAACTTGTTTGCCTGCTGCAGCAGTTCAAGTTCAACCGATCCAGATCAACTATTTTTGTATGTTAATATTTTTATCTGTTCTAGTATTAGAAAAGCCAAGAGCCATTTCTTACAAATTCGGTCGTTTATTCAGGGATCCAAAGAAACGCATGCATACGCATTGTCCTGGACGAAAATCTAAATGTGAGTTTGGTTGGTTCTTCAAACATGTATACAACATTGTCCTGGCTTCTTCTGAGCCTTTCATTAATGAAAAATTCTTTGCTGAGTAATGCTCTCTGACCAAGAAGTCTGTTGTGTTATGTTGTTAGACTAAGGATTAAGACCACAGTCACCACACATAACTTTACCTAAAACTGTCAAAAAATACTTCAACAATAATTTTGACACGTATATTATCTCTAGGAAGAAGTTTGTATTGGTTTTATTATTCTTCCAAGGGAAGAATTTTTTAAATGGTTGGTCACATAAGCAAGATAAGAAAGTATGAGTATAATCTGAACTTTAAGAATCTATACAGGAAAACTGGTCCAGTGTAAGGATTCATAAAAAGACTTGGTTGATGAGTATGTCATTTTAGGTCAATTTTATTGTTATTTCATTTTATTAATGTCTCATTTTCTGTTAGCTAAGCCAAGTTTATTCCAGTACCTCTTTTGCACTTTATTTTATCTAATCTATCCCTTTCTGACTAACAGTTCCAGATCGTTCCTCCTTGTTCATAAATTGTGGTGGTGAGGGAGTAACTGTCGGTGACAATTATTATGAAGCAGATAATTCAACTTCACTCTATTATATTAGTCCATCCAAAACCTGGGCTTATAGCCTTTCTGGAGGCTTCACGTCCCCAGAGTTCAATTCTAGTATTGTCACACAGAACCAGCCAGATGGAATTCTTCTTCCTGAGGCAGAGTTATATTTAAATGCTCGGATTGCCCCCCTCTTCCTAAGTTATTATGCTTTCTGTTTAAACGAAAGCAAATATAATGTGACCCTTCACTTTGCTGAGGTAGTATTCAGGGAGACGGAATCATATAGTCAAATAACGAGACGGACATTTGACATTTATATCCAGGTAATAGTGGTGACCCTTCACTTTGCTGATGTTATTCAATTATTCCTATTTTTACTGTCTTTTTCATAGAGGTGTGACCCATATATTAGAGGTGTGACCCATACCAGTGTTAAAAGAAGCATTTGTTGTAGGGAAATAGAGTGCTAAGGAATTTCGACATTAAAAAAGAGGCAAGGGGTCCAGATACACCTCAAATAAAAAATTTCCTAGTTGATGTTAATAATAGTCCATTGGAGATTTCCTTCTACTGGACTGGAAAGGGATATGGACCTCTCATTTCAGCTATTGCCATAACTCCAGGTAATTCAAAAGGCTATGACTTTAGTTTCTTCTGGTTGGTTCCAAGCTACACTTGAACCCCTTGGCTTATATGGTCATCATGTGTGTGCCCCATTAATTTACCAAAAAGGTAGCATATATACTGAATTAATTTGACACGTCTTTTAAAGAAGTTTGACTTTTCTCTTGCTGTTATCCCCTCCTTCGATGAAATATCACTTCGAAGTTCCCCAACGCTCTGCATTGTCTCGAAAATTGAAGATAGCATTGACTATTACTGTACCGTCAAGTGTAGTTTTTCTATTGCTTCTATTAGCTTTCATGTGGAAAATGGGCTGGCTGGGGAAAAGAGATTTGAGAGGTGAGTGAAGCTACAACTATACCGCATCATGCCTTTTTTCAAGAATTCTTATTTC